CGGTGCAACCTATATTTATTCAGGTTCAAGCACATACCAGGAGAATTAATTTTAAAAAACAAACAAATTGTGTGTGTGTGTGTGTGTGTGTGTGTGTGTGTGTGTGTGTGTGTGTTTTAAAGAAATGTTACGAGGTCAATACCATTTAAAGCTTTTCAAGATACATCAGTATTAGATAGAAACATGGTTCATCTAGTCACCATCCTTCTTCCTGGTCTTCAAAAATACAAAACAGGAGATTTACATGCAAATATATAGTTTCGAATATATGAATAGAAAATCAATAATTTTTTAAAGCTCTAAATGGATCCAAATAGAAAGTAATCATATACATAGCAAAAGAAATGAAGATAATCTTAAATATGAAAGAAAACGTGTATCAATAAACTGATCACATAATAGGAAAGTGCTAACACTGAGAAACTCAATAATGACATCCTCTTGTTTTTGCTGAATACCCCATAAAAATCCTATCTAATATGGGTATAGACTGAACATTTGATATGTATAGATATTCGTTTTTAAAAGTTTTTAGGATTCAAAATAGAGATCTTTAAAAGCAACATTTCAGGGCAGGACTGAAAAGAAAAAGAAAAAGGGTTGATTCAAATTTGAGAATTAAAGCTTCACAGATGGAAAGCCAAAATGTCTGTAATTCATGTGTAACTATGTTCTGTAAAGAGGATTTCAAAACCTCCTTTGAGTTGTTTCATGAAATCATGAAACAGACCAAATAAAGTTTATTTTTTAAATATACTCCTGCTTCACCCTATTGTTGATTAAGAATAGATGAGTCATTCTTACCTGTTGCTCAGAAACACCAGAGAATTGAGCCACTGAAAAGAAAACAAACTGGTCACAAGGTTTCCCTAGGGAGAAAAAAAATGTAGCATTATGTGGCAAATTGAAGAAACTGTGATTTTGAATGAGTGATAAAACTGACAGGCCTTTAACGTGCACAAAATCAGAAAGTGCATAAACTGATAACTTACCCAGACTGTGTAAATAAATTGCAAGGCAAAGTTCTAGTGATAGTAACACTTGCTTCTCTTTATGGTCTGTACTTGGCAAATAAGAGAAATCAAAATCACAGATTGTTATACTATATTAATGCTTCCTTATGAGGAAACACGAAAACTAATCTAATAACCCTTGAATTTTTGCTGATGTGGAAAACTCTAAGAATAAACGATAGGTTTGAATGATAAGCCTTAGACATGTAATTTTATTACTTTAAAATACATATAATAACAGGAATAAGAAAAACAGAAATAATTTAATAATTAATAATAATTTATAAGACTATATCAAAGAACCGGTCTAAGACTACCCACCTTCCTCACAGTTCAATTACATGATTTGTAAATACATCTCAAAAAATTTTTGAAACGTTTACTCTCATTAATACTTTCCTCTTATTCACTTTTATCTTAATATAACACAGGTATCCCTGAAAATGTTAATAGATATATTGAGGGGCCCAAAAGATCTCCTATTGAAACTAATTTTGGAACTACCATGCTAAAAGAGTTTGACAGTTTTGCAAAATAAATGTTGAGGATATCTCGAGTCTTTAACATTCATTGTAACTGGGTTGGGGGTGAAGGAAGTAGAAGGGATATATAATATGCAGTGTTTACTACACTTATTTCACATAGGCAATCCTACTGAAATATAAAATGCTACTCTGTTTATTCAACTTGAAATTCTACTTGCCTCACACCTCCCGGCTCCCCTCTGTCTTAAAAAAATGTGAAAATTTGAAAATGACTGCAACTCTACCACTCTCTGATCAGATTCTAAATTAAGATTTTGAGGCACGGAATAAATTTTGATGATCTAAATATTATTGAAGAAACATACCATAACTAGAATGAAAATGACTTAGCCTACTCAAAGTAAAGGTTGTTTTGTAATTTTAAATATCTAAAGTAATTCAACCAAGACTAATGTATCACTTTTATTTAAACTTCTCCATTTAAAACTGCCTGATTTATCCAGAGTATGTTTTCTGCCTAGCCTGAACTTTTATGCCAATTTTAAAATACAGCTGCATGAGCATGTAGATGCCATTTACTAGCAAAATAATCCCCCCATATGAAATTGATTTATTTTTGGTCTCTGAAATATAATCATTCTAATAGTGCTACTGAGCAACCACATTATTTTATGTGATTCTCACAGTAAGGTGGGAAGTTAGTTATCCTGATTGCTATTTCAAAGATGAGAAAAGTCATCACTCAGCGATATCAGCTGTCTATCCCAAGGTCACATAGCTAGAAAAAGATGGGGAACAGATTTCAAACTTCAATCTGAAAGCAAAGATGGTACTGTTTCCACTTCATTATGCTGGATGGAATTATTCATTGTAAGATCAGTGGCTCAGACACTATACCTTATGTAGAGCTTTGCAATACATATTTGCAGTTGGTCTATAATACAGAACTTTTTTGGGGAAAAAGATCCTTGAAGAGGCAAACATGTAGAGTTCCTCATATGTAGGTGTCATTATTGAATAAATGAAACAGTTCAGGCCTTTTAAATAAATCTCAAAGTTGAGAATACGATTAAAACCCCTTGCTTTTCAAGGAAATAGCATGCTGTTTCAAGGATTTCCTTCTCTATTATTTCTATACCCTCAATATTTTGCATTAAAAATTACCATGTGGAAGAAAACATATATTTGTGCTACAGGAAATTCAATAATTGCTATATTCTGTTTTATTGTTACCTGCTGGCATTTTTTTTTTTTTCTATTTCTTTACTATTTGACTCTGGTTGTTTGATTTTTAAATATAAACTACGGCTCGTTTCTCAATAATTTGTTTTTATTGTTGTCTAAATGTATTTAAACAACTGCAAAACTAAATAAAATATAATAAATATTACAGAAATAGCATGAAGCAAATATTTTATCAATCTAGGTATCTATTCTGAAGAACAACAACAAAGAATATAAAATTTACTTCAAAAAGACTCATCACTCCTTGTGAGATGAGCACTTAAAAGTGTAAAGGGTGCAATGAGGAATGTTCTTTAATCTCTCACAGTTTACAATTTGGCTACTAAGCCAAAGCATACCCTCCAGGGCCAGTCATATTATTTACTGTATGGTTCAGTCCCAAAGTAAATGATATAGACATTCTGTTGTATATCAGGGAACTGTGAGAGAGATGTGATCAGGAGTCATGGAATGATGGAGTTGAAAAGTTCTGGCTTAGCTGGATTTTGAAAGTTGTGAAAATATTGGACAGAAAGAACAGAAATGAATGAAGTAAGGAAGAGTTAGTAACAGCATATCCGTATGGTAGAATTGAAGCTGGGAGCAGCAGAGGGACAGAGTGGGGTCCGTAAGTTTCATAAAACTGTGAAGACAGCATATTTTGTGGCACTGATCCGCCCTTTCAATGCCTCTTCACTAGGCACCTCTCTCCTCCATTGCTTTCTCACCTTCCAGCTAGACTCTAGCCTATTTTGGAGGACCATTAAACTGTTAGCTGCATCAGTAGGGCTCCTGAGGACTGAGAAGTCATATAGTTTCAAATAAAAGATTCTCCACTAGTAACATTTCAGGCCATAGAGATATCAGTATTACAGTTCCACAAAAGAATATTATGCTGGTTCTGAAAAGCTAGTCTCCATTTTGGATTTGATCTTGGGGATATTAGTAGACCATTAGAAGTGGTTGATTTGAGTAAGAGAAGGATGTTCTGGGAAATGTATATCAGGAGCAGTGTGCTAGAAAGGAGACAGGAAAGAATGAAGGCAGGAAAATCAGTGTACTATTTTGGTAGTCTATGACTTATGTGTAAATGCCTGGACAAAAGCTAGGCACTATTTATCTCCAGAGTACTCCACATTCTAAGTTTTCCAAAAATTATGGTTTCCTTTAGTTATCAATGACAATGCATTTAATTACCTTGTAATTCAAACGTTTCCATTAGGGATTTTACCATACTCTTGATTTTAATTTCAAATGAAATAATTTTTTCCTTAAAATACTATGTGTCTGTAAAATACTCTTTTCAATCAAGTTCAGATCAAAAAGGGTTCTAATTTGTTCTTCAGAGCGTAGCCAAGTACAATAAAATATTGGAAGCCTTACTTTTATACGCAGATAGTTTAGACGTAATGTGTGTAGGGCAATATTGTTGCTTGATATGTCACACCCACCGTGTCTGATTTTGGATAGAATTTGAGTCTTTGGGCTAATGAGATTTTAAAAGTAACAAAAGGGAATGCTGAAGCTCATTTTAAAACTAGTTCAGAGCCTTGACATCATTCGTTTCTTGGAGCATCTTCTCTCACCGAAATCCAAGCAATTATCTATTGTCCCGATCCGTCTTTGCTCCACGTTCCTTCACTTTTCTTTGTCCAACTTCGATGTGACACACTTGCAGATTAAATATCCTTTCACAATTTAGTTCCATACATAACATAACCACGAAAAGTAACTTTATGAGGTCTGAAAGTAGCACTCCAGGAAGCCTGGCCTTCTCCAATTCTGACATTTTGGCAACACCAACCCACCACGCACCTTTCATACTGACCCCCATTCCTCCAACACTAACCATCCTACATTCGGGGGACTCCTCGAAGAATGCGTCACTCGAAGAATGCAGACACTTGTTTTCACGCGGGGGCGTTTTGTGAGACTTGGCCGCCCCGGTTCATTTCTATTTTGGGGTGAGGGAGGAGGAGTCGAGAGAGGGAAAGACTACCAACAAACAAACAAATCTCGCGCAGTGCACGGGCAGCAGCGAGGGGCGGGCCCCTCCGCTCCGCGCCCTCCGCGCCCTCCGCGCCCCGCCCCGCCGCGCCCCGCGCGCC